CAGAGGTCAGGGATCAGGTACATTTTCCTCCGGACCGCTCCTTCCCCTTCCTCCTGAGTTAGGCAATGACCGTTCTCTACCATCGTTGTGCTTTTGAGATTTAATAGCCTTTACTGACTAGTCTGACCGAGGCCTGACCCTCTTTGTGTCTCTAAACTCAATAAATATTTCACGAATAAAATGGATCGTAAAAATGAGCTTCAAATGTAAACTTACATTCTCGGTCTCAATACTAACTCGATTCGAAGTAGAATAATTGCAGAACTTTGTATTTCTCAATTAAATGCAAATTACTTTTTTATGATACATTACACAGTTAATTACCGTCTGACAGCATATATCAGGCCTGGTCCGTTACTAGGAATGGCAGCACACGTTGCCATGGCAATTTCGTCCAAATAGTTGTAAAAATATGAGCGAAATCCTCTTCGCACTCGCAAGTGATCTGAGAGAGATGTTTTCAGAAAGGTTAATTTATGAAAATTTGAAAGCCTACTTGACAATCCCGAATGGAGTTGAAGCATTGAAAATATCTTAGGTTTTTTTGTCTGTCTATCAACACTAGACGGGGAGATAGTGTAGATCAATTACACCTTCTTCAGGCCATAAACGTGTGTACCGGTAACTTTACCTAGGAAACCTTTCGGCATTGTCGCGCAAGCATTTTGCGTTTCGAGTAGACACCACCTTCATCTTGACTCATACTCTGCTGACGACTTTTTTTTACACTGAAATAACTTTGATTTAACCAAAATTCCAGATGAATCTTATTTCCTCTACTTTTACGCTCTCGATCACCTTTCAATAAACTCGATCCTTTTCAAATTGAGTTGATAAACAGCAAAAGTAAATCATATTCATTTCCTTCTTCAAAACTTCGACCAAACAACTGAAAACAAATTTGACAAAAAAAAGCCATCATGAAATTGCGACATTTTACGATTGAGTTGATTATATTGACTGTTTTGACGTATTCCTAATTATTTATAACAAAAAGATACATCGTGGTCTAATAAAATATCTTTAAGGAAACATGTATAAAAGCTCTTATGTCTATTCCTCAAATATATTTTCTCTAATAGCTAGAAGCAACGGGTTCCGGTGAAAGTGATTTGGTTCATGAATCAAGTTCAAATAGAGGACCACGAGCGTGTAAGTCTTGTCTTACCTTGTAAATGACTCCTTTTCACAGAATCAGCCACTAGGAAACTATAACCACCAGCTAAATTCATAAGCACAAAACACGTCTTAACAAATTGTGCAACCATCGCTTCAGATGTACACAGAGATTCTCTTTCCTTGAAGGCTTTTTAGATTTTTTAAAGCGATAAGTGATGATTTCACCGTCTACTGTCACTAAATGCTAAAACAATCGCCATTTTGCTGTCGAAAATAGAGGTCATGTTTTTTCCTGGAACTTGTCGCTGTCCTGATCCGCTGACCCAGACAACGGGTGGAATAACACATCATTCTATCAAGAAAAGATCAACGTGTAAATTCTCCTCTACTATGTTAATTGCTGACTGAGAACAAAGTAAGGAGATTCAGTCAACCCATAATCGACCAGCTCAGAAAACCAAAAACATCTCACTTCAAACTCACCACAGAAAACAACTCACACATTTCTCTGTTCCATCTGAGCCATTTTTAAGTTTTAAATGTTACAGTTTATTTATTTTTTCTCTTGTATTTGAGGTAAGTCACGACATAACACTTAAAAAATATAGGAAGCCACAAGCCAAGTCCTTTCACTTAAGTGTTGTGTTGTGGATTGCGATTGGACAACAGTGGAGCAAAACTTAAAATATGTCGGATAGTTGTCAAAAATTGATATTTTTTGAGTGGCAAACAGGTCTTTTAAGAGTTTTCTCAGTGACTCTTATTGACACCAAATAGATAGATAAATATAATGATCTTTTAATCAACACAAGTAACAAAAAACTCACTTAAGTTGCATGGCTCCTCCATTAAGGGGCCGAGGGAAAAATTCACGCATGACAACTCAGAGAACTCCCCCCCTGTCTTGCCGACTTCGCGGGGACACTCTTTAGGTTTTCTCACAGGCGTCAAAACGTTTTATTAGTGAATTAGAACCAAAGAATTCAGCTTTGTCCTTAAGCTAGTCGTGGTACATCAAGCTAAATTTCAATACAAGTAATATTTGCCTCTGTGCGCAGATACACCGTCATTTGGAAAATTTTCTTAAATTCAAACAATTTTTAGTAACTATGTCTCTTTAAAACACTTGCCACACGAACTGCAAAAGTTACTGCTCGGCTGACACTTAGTCGAACATTCCGGACAAACTTTTCCCACAATATTGGTTTGTTCACTACCCTGAACCATACTATATGCAAGCTCATTGTCATTGACTGCACAGTTTTGTCCCAGGCTGCGCTTTTGATGATGTAGATACTCGACCATGGGGTATGAGAATCCTGGTGCCGTACCATAGATATGATAGCGTGCGGGTGCAGGTCCCACAGGGCCTTGGTAAGGAGGTCGGGTTTGGCGAGTAATAAAGCCTGGATGCATTCCTGCAGCGTAGTGCATCACAGGATTTTCAGGTGAGTTAAGAGAAGCCATTGCTTTTTCATGACTCGGAAGTACACATTCTATTGCTCTCAATACGTCTCCATGACAACCTTTCCAAATGAGCTCCAGCACACTCCGCTTCTGAGTTGGGAAGAGTCTGGTAAGGAGCTCTAGCGGATGCAGTCTTCCTTGATAGCTTTGATTCTGGTTTCCAGGACTCCTCAGATTCTCATTGGTGCTGTCATCCGTATGAGTCAAAGCTCGTTCTGTAGGGTGATTAGCTGGCTCTTTGTATTCCCGGATGTAATCATTTGTTTCGCCGTTTGTGTCATCACTGTCATAAAATACACTGTCATCTCCTGCCTCAGGGGGGGAGGGATACGAGGATTCCATTTCCGAGAACTTACGCTTTAGGCCTACAACCGAAAAAAAAAGGATTTTATATCATCTACTATTCTCGCTAGAAACAAAATTAATGAAGGAAAGAAATGGCCGCACCACGAGCATACAGTTTTCTCCGTGCAAATGCGTGATAAACTATTTCTGAAGACTGGGGGAATTGAAGGCGTTCAGTTAGGAATGAGATACAAACATTCATCGACAAACCGGAAGTGATAGCTGAAATCTGGGAAAACAGTTCAAAGACTTGAAGAAAAAGAAGACAGAAGAAGATGTTGTCTCTGTTTCCGTAATTAATCTTGGGGCTTTGATCCAGGGTTTGAGCGAGCTTTTTCATTAAAAGACTCTAATATTTGGTCCGGACAGCTGCAAAGTGATGTCTGTTATCAATCTTTTCTCCCGCCCGACATTTACACTGTCTTGTAAAAATTCGACAACTTAAGAAGAAACTTGTAAAAGCGTTCCTAATTAAAATCGAAATATTTTTATTTACCTTCCACTGAAACTCAAATTGTCTCAAATCTTCGTGAAATTTTTTGACAAGCTTTTACTCTCGAAGGTAGTGATAGTTTTCAATTTTGTGCTCTTATCAATCGACCGGAAATCGTTTCTCTGTTATTTAATTGCATTCGGCTCATAAAAGAGAGTGCATAAGATATGCTTTTGACAAATGTGACACCGAAAAACATTTTTAAATTGGCTCAGGGAAAGAAAGCAAACTAAACTTGTACCGATGCCAGGAATTTTCGATATGAATGGCCACTGAGAGTAAAGAAAAAAAAAGCACTCGTAACTACCAAACCAACCGTAGGGAAATACAGTACAGACCTCTATTCCAAAAGATGCAATTATAAAAATTACCATGGAGTTTTTCTGTTGATCAAAAGTTTATTTGGTATGGTTTTCTCTAAGTCCTTATCAGAAGGCGAATGTTTTGCTTTTATTCAGCGTAAAACGTCGAATTCTCCTGACCAATCAAACAGTTTTATCAAAATAATGGTCAAGGTCGCCCACAAAAGGAACACTTTCTTGTCTTCTAAATATTGTCTTGTATCTTCTCAGCGGTTGTGATATACACGAAGCTAAACAACTTTACAGCGATTCGAAGTTCTCTTTTTTTAAATGAGTGAACGCATTTTGTATATAAAAAAAAAGTGTAACCGATTTTTTTCTCACCTGGCGCCGATGAAAGCGAAGAGTGTTTGGTGATTCTCGCCTCCTCAGTTATGGCTGGATCAACATCACTCAAAGCTGTGTTATTGTTTGCATCGAACTGTACAGTTGCTGAACATATGATACTCGGTAATGCCTCATTCGAACCCGTCGCTTCTGACCTGTACATTACACAGCCGGGGTCCACGCTGACAGCAGTGTTCCGAAACTGGCCTACCACCGTGGGCGCTGGCGGTGTTGCCTCGTCCTCCTCCCGTTTTAGCGCCACTTGCGCCGCCATCAGGCGCTGTCGCTCAATTATTAAGCTGCATTTTGAACAGGAGCAGTCTTTCCATTGACAGAATCGCTTATGTCCTTTCAAAATTGATTCTACGCCATGATTCCGACATCTTGCACAGCGAGGATACCGAGGTACACTGTCATCGCCTCGAGCATCTTCAGACATTGTTGGTTGATACAGTACGGTTTTCGTTTTCGACACACTCTGCGACATCCACAGTTCTGGACGAAATTGTTAGTTTTGCAATTTACGCTTTTCCAATTAATTACCGTCAAACAGTTGATATATCACCTACGGTATTTCTGTTCTTAATGAGTTCTATTGTTTGGGTTAAGTTTGATTCGAGCTCTCATTGGCTGATGCAGGATTAAGCGCCATCTTCTCACAACATCGGTTTGAACCTTTTTATTAGCCAGCAGACCGTGTTAGTCAGAACACCTCCATTTTCATGGTAATTTGTAAACGACCTGAGAAGGTTATTCTTTCATCTTTTTTTTCTTTTGAAACTAATGACATCTTGCATTTAATGTCTTGGTTACGGCAGTCTCAACGTTTCAACAGACAGACATTTTTACGAATGTATGCACATAAAACATGAAAAACTTTCCAGACTTAGTTTGGTTCATTTTCTTGTCATTCAGTGTTTGCTGTAGGCTTTCCTTCAATTTGAATGTAAATAGCGCTTCCTCTGGGTATTGCTTTTCTATTCAAAATACATTTTCATTCAAAAAAAATACGACAGCTTTCAGCCGGAGACTTTGTGGTCAGCATAATGAATGAGTGGCTTTTGTCTGCTCTAGTCGCTTTGTTTGAATCTATAGAGAGCCCGCCTTTGCTTCTCACTGCTTGGGTTTCAATGAAAATTGAACTTCACTTAGTTCTTATTCAAAAGCTGTCAGTTATACTTTGTTTAATTTCCGTTCAATGGTCAACATGAACAATTTGAGCTACAAGTTGACTTAATCGAACAGCATCACGCTCTGGCAAAAACACGGGATCCACAATTAACTAGGACACCTTGTGTAAGATTCTTCAAGCCCTTCTGTTTAATCCTTGAAAAACCGGCACAGACTTCGAAAGAATCTAGAAGAACCTTATTCACTCAGCTAACACTCAATATGAATCACGACGGCTTACATATTTGGTGCCGCAGCGTCGAGTAAGAAACGAGGAATCCACGCGTGGAACTAAGTAAAGGACTCGAATTGAAAGGGAAGTAATATATTTATTGGATGATTTGAGAGGGAAAATTTAACATTAGGTATTGTTATTCAAATACAAGAGGTCCACAAACACTATTCGGCTGCTCATTTCTAGACAAGTACTAATTGTTTCAGGATAGAGTTTTGTAATACAATTATGTCTGTGAGCTGTAGACATTCAGTTTAGTTTAATGTCATAGTATCTGGTCTTTTCTTGCAGCCCACTGGCTCTTAGGCATCTGACAGATAAAAGTTGTCTGTGTTCATGCTGTTCTAAAAGTTGAGATATTGAGTCAATCAGCTTCAACCTCGACTGAATCAGTCAGAATTGTCTGGCGAAGTTGACACCAACATATCTCCACTAAAACAGTTGGAACATTACACTTCCAGCGAACAGGCTTTTTTCAAGTTGATCAAAGATAAAGATTAACATTAATAACATCCTATTTGGCCGAGGTTATGATAGACATTTTAAACTGAAAAATTTAGCGAAATGATCTGAAAGTTTCAAGCATTCATCGCCAAACAGCAGACGTCAACATCGGTGTGCTTGTTTGTATTGCATTAAAATCTTTATCACAGACGAACAAACTAATCCTTCATTCTAAAGAGGAGATAAAACGATTTGCGAATTATCATTACGTTTTCCTATAAGAGAAGAATATAAGATTTACGAGCAAAGTTAAAACTTTCACAAAACTGGACAAATTAGAAAAACCTTAGTTTAAAGTCAACTTACTATAACTGAGCCCTGCTCTCCACGATAGCGTTGACTGAAGCTATAGAAAAACAACATTAATTGACTACCTAAACAACAGTAAGCCGATGCATCATATTTAACTAGTCATTCTAACTACCGGCGCTGCTGCTTAAGGTGCAGCACATGTATCCTACGTTATTAATTTCGGACTATTCTAAGTTGGTACGAAAATAGTTTTATGATACAAGCTTACATTTGGTTTCAATTACCTTATTGCTTTATACAACTTTGCTTTCTCTGGGAAAAGGCTTTGGAACAAGTTTATTTTAACAAATATTAAAAGATTGAATAATTAAAAGAATGGGAAAATGAAATAAACCATCCCACATTGCTGTATATGTACATTACAAAAAACTACTACTTTACTATAGCTCTGCCTATAGCACCTCACTGATTATCCATCATTGACTGTGCTTAGGATGACTTGAAGCCCTCGTTAGCGAGAATTCCTCGTCATTAATACATTCTAACTGATAATTATTGAATAACTTGCCTATTTTTCTACAACTATACCAGACTATTTCTAAGATTATTCCTTTGTTGTATGAACTAACAAAATAGCTTAGAAAACATGATAAAAAGCTGTAGAACTTTCAGCAGCCGGTAGTAGCTCTCCCCATGTACATATTTACAACTTCTCAATTAATCCACGTAGCCTGGCTCGTATGACTCCGATCAACACTAATAATAATCTCTACTAGGACAATTTTCGTTTTATAAACTACCGAGTGAGAAGCTCTTTTATCATTCTGTTATCATTCACCAATCCTTCACTCATAAGTAGGTACAAAGTTCAAACTCAATTCTTACAAACAGAAATATCTACTCTATTTGTTCCAGTTTTACTGGCTCATTTTTAATTAACTATTACGAATATATTCACGTTATTTTAATTTCTCATCCTCTGAAATAAAATCATTGATTTTAGGGCTTTTCGTCAGCCTCACTTTTGGGAGAGGCGCGGGGAGAATGGTTCGGAGGGCTACGATCATTCCTTTGTGGTAGTCGGTCCCCAGGAAACACTCTTCCAGCCGAGCTCATGGTTATTAGTGCAGCAGTTGCTGACCGCATACTTTGGCTATACCGCGTATCTTCAAGATGCGGAATTTTAGTCAAACCAGGCATAGTTGAAATCGGCAAAGAGTTGTGCTCGGAGATGGACGGTATCAGCTTAGACTGTACGTCCGCGGTCTGACGCTTAGTCGGATCCTTGAGTACTGGCATAGGACCGGCTCCTGGGTAATACACACACCCGGGACATTGGCCACTCGCACATTTGGAAGCTGCGTGGTACTCTACAGCGCTCAATGGAATATTGTGAGAAAGAGTGGGAGACATGGGCGGGAAGGCTGAATAGCCAGATGGCGGGGGAGGCCCGGGAAAGAGACCCCTGGGTACAGTGGCAAGTAACTGGCCCCGAGCAAGGGCTTCCTCGTGACTTGGAAGAACGGTCTCTATTGTCTGGATAACGTCACCTCCACAACCCTTTAGAATTAACTCCAGAACGTTTCTTTTTTGCTCTGGAAAGAGCCGTGTAAGGATGTTCATGAACCTGGAATGATCAGAGCTTGACATGACTTTGCTCTCACCATTTTGTAGAGATATCTTGTCGTGTCTCTGTCTTTTTGATTCTGGTGACATTCTCAGGCGCCGCTCATCTTCATCGTCGTCTCGTTCACGTTTCCATCTCGTGGAGAAACCTTCAGTGTTGTTATCCATTGGAAATTCTGAAAAGTAAAAACATTGACTTTAATAACAATGGCCGCTATACAATCATATTCATATAAAATCTGCTCATCGTCGCTCTAAGATTTGATTTATTTCAATGAATGAACCAAACGGGAGAGAAGAAACACTATCTAAATGTTCGTTGGACTGTTAACCTGTCTGACCACCGCGCGAGTTTATACCGCAGTTCTCTGCTACTGAGGGATCGCACATAACAATTTTTTTTTGTAGACAAATCAAAAATTTTTTTTAAAATCACGGCACCTTTTCGGGGAGACCAAACGTACTGTTCACTGAACCTAGAAGAGTTCTAAATACTCTTTTGCTAACGATAGAGTAGGGAAATCAGTTTTATGTCCTCAGTATTAAAGAAGTCTTAATGCAGTGAAAGCTGTACGCAAAAGTCAGAACAAAGAAATGAGTTGTTAAGCGTTTAAATAAACTTTTTATATCAAGCTTCATCTGTTGGTTCTCTTATCCATCAGTAAATCTCTGATTAGATATCAACAATGCAGATAAAAAATGGAAATCATGAAAAAAAAAAAAGAAAAAAGAAATTCACACAGATCACTGATCGATTTCTGAAAATCATGGAAACAGCGATGTATAAAGCCCTTACATCAGATTACCTTAAGCCACAAGTTTCGCTTTGGTTTCGTGCAGTCGGTGGTTAGAGGAGCTTGCTTCAGTTATGTTCGTGACTGCAAGTGATCCGTTCAAAAGTGATGACTTCGTTTATAATTTAAATTATGCAAATGACCACGCAAAAAATCTTTTCAAAGCAAGCCAAACGCCTGGTAATCATTATTTATTTTTGCAATGCCTTAAAATGCAAGCAGCTAACAGTTTGAGGTCATTTCTTTTTTCTATGTAAGACCTTGTTGTTTTTCCACTGTCATCAATGTCAATTTTTTACCAGCTTGACGCAGACAGCAATTTCCATTGACCACGGGAAAAAGTGTTCAATTATTTCATATTCGAGGGGCGCAAATTTTTTCATGTTGAACTTCACAGCGCTTCAATTTTGTTCAATTTTGCTGCCAAGAAAAGACGAAAATCCTTCGCCAGCACAACCAAGAAATGGCTGGATGATTTTTCCTTTCAACTTAAAGTTGGCAAAACCCTAAATTACCTGTGCTTATGTGGGGAAAGGTGCTGTTTAATTTTTTTGTACACACAGCTGGGGAAACTTCCCGGCTAGAACTTCCTTGTTCCAAAGAAATAATGTGCCAAAGCACCTATGAAATGGAAAGATCGTATAAGACCACTAACGGCGTTTATAAAAAGACATGCCACATCAAACTATGAAAAACTGTGGCCTTTTCCGCTAAGATTGATACACTACACCGAGGGGTGCTTTCAGACTATTTAAAAGAAACTTGTTAACAATTGAAAATGTAAAATGTCCAGTGATTGCAGGCTAAACGAAAAAAAATCACGAAAGAAGAACATGAAATTGGCAGGTTCAATATCATCCTCGGAAAATTTTGTGGTGATAAGAAAATCATTTAAGTGAAATATGCCGGCGGGAAGCAAATTAATATAGAATACTCGGGCGAGAATAAAAATTGTGCATATCTTTTGTGTGTTTTAAGTAAAAATCTAATTGGACTTTTACATAACAGTGCACCAAAAGTTTTCAGTTACTTGAGCACAGTTTATATACCACTCAATCATACTTAAATAAATATGCTCTCAAACCGCTGGAGCAATTAATGATGAAATTTATAAGAAAATTACGGTTAGAATAGTAAATTTTGAAAGGTAACTGCTAACACAAAATCACTATTTTTGAATAACAATTGCACTATACGCTCTAAAAAGACAGAGTTAGCCGCAAACGTCCCATTATTTGTAGCGTATTATCATAATGTCGTTGATTATCACTCCAAACATAAATGGCTGCTTCATTTTCCGCACGACAGAACAAGTACATAAAAGTGGTACGTCACCTGGGCAACCGCTACAAGTAAATAGGTATTTTATTATTCAATGTTCTTCCCTACTGTGTTAACAAACGCGTTAGCTCGACATCTAGAAATGCACACAACATATTTCCCTTACTTGAAAAAAGATTCATCAATTTAAGACAATCAGTGAATAGCTTAAAATCTTAAGATAGAATATTAGTAATAAAAGAGAGAGTATCGTTCAAACAGGAAATGACCTGTGACTTTTACTGTTACAGCAACTAGCCAGCTCTGAAGTCAGTGACTGTGAACATGTCACAAACATAGTTTAGCTCTACAAAGTTCCATTTTTTGTCTCACTGGAATAATTTATTTCACCCTTTCATCATGTGGCAACCAACCGCTATTTATCAAGCTGGTTTCAAATCACACTCGTGATTACAAGACTAAGGGTATTTGGTAATGCATTGACAAAGTTTCAAATCTTTTTAATAAAACCTAACTTTGAATTAATCAACTTCTTAAGAACACGTACAAACAGGAATTACTAAGAGAAGATTCCCATGCCACTTGTTGATATTCAGTTTGAATACTTGTCGCTTATTTTGACATATTATAGTTAACTCTCAATGGAACTCTATAATGAGTTGTATATTCAGATGACGTTGAAAATTTACGATGAGAAGTGCTACTCAAATGTGAACAAACTCACCGAACGCAAAATGCTTTCGTTGTTCCGACTGTTGAGCTCAAACAGTGTGTCTGTGATGAGTCAAAGTCAGTAGGTAAAGGCGATCAGCCAAGATTTCTTCTAAGCATAGCAGGCAGGTTTTACTCTCTAGGGAAGCAAGGTTACAATAAACATAGCGCGTTCTGACTAGTTGTTGCCTTTACACAATATCACAGCTGGGAGATATGAACCACCCGTGCCTTAGAAAATCCTGGCTTCCTGATTGGCTGGACAAAAGCATCGACATGTAGTGGCATTAATTTCTTATAACAGTAGAGCACTGTTTTCCTGTTTTAGATGAACCACATGGCCCAACTGTATACTCCAATATCGGTTTCACTGGAGTTTTGAATCATTTTAGAGCCTCAACTGTGTATTATGTCAGTTCACATAACTCGGGCTAATCTTGTGTTTCTTTACATAGCAGCGTTCGAATTTTACTAGTGTTAATAAAAAACACGTGTTCAGAAATAAAGACTTTGTAACACGTGTCGGAATCATGATTATTTGCACTGTGCTATTGTTAAAGTTGTAAAAATATTGCTCAAGCTGTTACTTTTTACCTAATTCCTTGCCAGCTGAAATGGAAAGAAAAAATGTTTTTATTTTAAATTTGTGCTTTTGAACGTCTTCATGAGACAATAGAAGCATGTCAAGATATAGTCAGTTTTAGCTCTTGATGTGCAAAGTCAAATATGGACTCGATTTCGTACAGTTCCTCCTGGGAATATGGGGAAAATATCTATCTTCATTGAAGATAAGAAGTCCAAAAAAATTTAATCAACAACTATTGTAAGGGAGGGGGTTGTAAATTGCAGCCCCGAGGGCAAAGAAAGCTGGTGCCAATTTTATTCATAAAGGCACAGTCCGCTAAAAATAGACAAAGAGTCTGAGCTCGCTCAGAAATAAACACAACACTTGCGTTGATTATAAACAAACTGTAAAATAAATCAAATACAAACATCCTGATGACATTATAAACACTGGTTTGACTCCCAGTGACCAGAATAAACATACAGATTTTATTACAGAATAACCGCACTGAGACTTTCCAGATTGTTCGCGTTCCAGAATGTTACAAATATTTTGTTGCATTTTTTAGACATGATACTTTTTCGGCCGGCAGTGTTTCTTTGATAATGTCATAATTATGCTGACCCTAATTAAATCCACTTTAGCTTTAAATCACTCAATTTGGCTGGGAGAAGCCACTTCAACTTGCTCTCAGACTAACGAGTGCACATTAGCACCTAACCAGAGGCCACAGCCACAAATAAATCACACCTAATTATGTTGCAATTTCAAGTTCGTTATTGAAAATCAGCGAGAGGTGTTCCTTTTCTGGGCGAACATGCAATTCTAAAGCAGAAACAGTGACATAATTTATTGGGGGGATTATACAAGCTTCAAATTTTGCTGGTTTCATCAACACTTTGCTCGACTAAGTGTTTTTGTGCTACTTGAGGTCTTAACATCAAACTTTCAAACAAGATTAAGTCATACCGTAACATAATTCGCGAGGAATATGCAGCTTTTAGAGAGAGGTTCTGAATGTTTTCCCAGCACGGAACTGTTTGGAAATTTCTTAAAATAACGTATTTAGCATGGATGGAACAGAGCCAGGTATTCAGTAACAAGGACAAAGCCTAGATGCCTTTCATTTCTATGCATCGCCTTTTTTTAAAGAAAGTTATAATTTAGGGTGTTGCTTTGCTCAGAGTCATTTCAATACAGTATAATACAGGTTCTGGTCAAATTCCGTGTCTCAGTCATTATGGACGAAAACTGTATCCCTGAACTGAAAACCTCCCAAAATTTATCACCAGAAATGATGATCCACGACTCGAGGACCAGCATAAAAACGATTAAACAGAAGCAAATTACTTCACAGAACCCAGGTGCTGTATTCTTTTTCTTTAAAAGGAAACACAGGGGTAAATTTAGAAAAGAGAATGTTGATCGTGTATATCGCGGGCAAAATTTTCAACAACCTTCTGACTGCAACTTTGTTAAATACAGATAAACAAGATAAGTTAGCAACTCAATAAAACTCTGTCCATACTAGCGCGCTTGAAACCGCGTGCGATGAATTAACCGCCTCTTATGTCGTAGTTCTTAGGTTATCTATACAACAATGACTAAATCTGAATGAACAAGGCGTGCATGTTACGATATCCTCCAAAAACAAACCCCAGTCTTGTTCATGTCCATTTCATTCAAAAGTTCGATGTGTGAAACTTTGTTAACGCTACGCTGGGTCTACGCACTGATACCGTTGGCGTAATCTGAGGTTACCCTTTCATGGGAAGTATTGAGCTGTGATTTAAACAGCACGTTTTTTCATATATCTCAAAAGGCTATGGTTAGTTTAGCAACGGTAACGAAGCGAGATAAGAAAAAGGGACCGATTTTTGCTGTAAAATCATCCGATGGGTTTGTAAATTTTGGCAGCCAATCAGACGGTTGCGTAATCAATTCAAAAGTAATGAAATCAGCTGGAAGACAACCCCGACCTTGGAATCGGATGATGTTTGCTCGTTTTATTGTAGAAGGCAAATTTTGCAACAAGAATTGTACTCAACTCACCATCGTTTGCGCTGCTTGCAGGAGACCCTAGCTCATTGTTGGTATCGTCAATGTTTGGCGAGCTTGATCGAGAAGACAAACTTGCGGTTCTTGGCAGTTGAGCTTCCTTTGGGGACGTTGGTGAGGGTGGAATGATTCTTGGTGTCTTTTGTAGATTTTGATTAAAACACAACTGTACTGCGCCGTAGGAAAGATGTCCAACCTCCTCACTCTCTTGTTGTCGTCTGAGCGCCACTTGTGCGGCCATTACTCTTTGTCTTTCAGCTATGAGATTGCAATCCGCGCATGCACAATCTCGCCATTTACAGAACCGTTTGTGTCCTTTGAGTATGGATATCACCCCGTGATTTCGGCACCGAGCACACTTTGGTGAACGCTGAGCTATGGAACCCATTGGAGGCATCGGAGTTGACTTGATCTCGGTTGAACTCGGCTGAAATAAGAACAACAACGCGTAAGCCGGCTAAAGAACTAAGGCAATCAGTACACCAGACAAAGTAGTTGAAGTGGAATAGTGAACCAACAATAATTTTAAGCATTCTTATATCCACGACTGGCCTCCAGCTAAAAAGCAGAAGACCCCATTAAAGCCAAAATACCGCGAATTGTAATGACTGCACGAATTCCCTGACTTCAACATAAAACAAGAAACACTACCAATTTGCTCTCCTATACCTTAGTCCTTTGCAGTAGTTGTCTCGCAGCGAAATTTTGAACTCTAAAATTTTAGTATTCGACCCGAAAAGGAGCAGTTTTTGTGGCCAGATCATCCGTCCTTCAGGCACTACTAGTAATACCTATTGTAAACTGTGAGAGACACTTCTAAGCGTGAGACAACAAACTGGTCTATTTCGGTCTCAGTGGCCCTCTAAATTTAGCCACTTCAAATGAATATATTACGATGAATTGGTGAGAAATTTGCTCATCATTGTTCACAGTCACTGTGCGTAAAACAATTTCCACAAAAATTGTCTCCGCTTAGTTTAATTGATTAGGTATAAAAATAGAAATTTCTAGAGTAACTTATCTACACGGCTAACGTGAAATTGTAACCTAATCTACGCTCTTGACCGAAATTTCTGGTCATGCTCTGAACGTGACAATTTAGAATTATCCATAAATCATCACATTCTTTTCAGTGAAATGAATAAGCTGATAACAAACGAGTTTATTCTTCAACGTATTAAAGTAACAGTTAAAAGTTTCGCTACATTCATCGCTCTACAGGTTTTTGAGTTTTGAAGGATCTATGGAGAGCTTTGTGAACAAATCGAAATGTTACAAATCTTAGCGCTTTACAATTACTTATTAATAACGAAAATGACAGATTTGAATTACTTTGTCAGAAAGAAAATATATGTACAAGCTCTGAAAAAAAGTTCAAAGATGACGTTGAATTTCCACTCTTCCATATCAAATCAAGTTCTTGCTTCATAAAGGAGAAAGAAGAGGGTTTGGATGAAACTTGTCTCTTTCAAACAGCATGAAAAGAATGAGACACAGAGCACCAATGGAGCAGAACAACAAACTGATATCAGCAACACAAGAAGCAAATTAAATTCATAGAAGATCACTAACAAGAACAACTTTACCGAGCAATGAAGAGAACTTACTTTTGAGGTAGTAAAGTTTAGACCTTCCTTTGTAATGCTTTGACTAATCTACTAAATGTTACTAATAACTACACTAGATACGTCAGTTAATCATCTGGGGTCAAGGTTGTGGCTCAACCATTCTAGCACATTCCTCAGTCTAAACAAAACAGGTTTACTGCTCATTGTTGCTATGACAATTCAGACAACCTGTCAAGGTACAAGTGAAACAATTCGTGGATAGCAAGTCCTGACGTTTTTATAGGTGGATAAATGCAAGTTGTTATTTTATCTTATTTTGAAGTTATGTTAAACTTTTCGACCTGAAGTAAAATCAAAACAAGGGCAGGGTGTTTGCTCGAGGCGGAAAAATAATTTTAAAATGTTATGTATTGCATTGTAAAATATATATCAATACTTCAGGAAAACTGGCTAAAAGCTAGCAGGATAACCGATGGAAAGGTGCGAAGTTTATTTGCTCATTAAACTGAGGGTAGGTGGACAACAGAAATTGTGCAACTTTGATAATTGAATTGAATTTCTCAACATGGCTTAACTGCGATTACTCAAGTTATTGGAAACAATTTCTTTACCACACTGATATAATACAAAATTTATCAGCTCGTGAAAGGTAAATAATACCTCACAAAGGTCAACAGTGAAGCTACAAAGAAAAGTTATAAATGAATATCTTATATAAACCTCTTGTGGCACTGCGGGGCACTGCCACATATTCATGAGATAGCTGATCTTCATAAAGTTTGAAACATTTCCACGTGGCCCCCCTAACGGGTTCATATGACAAAGAACGGTTTGTTGTATTATGCACTGAAAAAACTTCATTAACCTTGTCAATGGCATTGAAGTAGACTCTGGTTAAAATCTGCTGATACATTGTATCAAGAGCATATCAGCTGTGTTCAGATATAAATAATGCGGTAATAGGTTGTATTCTAGATTTCCATTTGAGGAAGAATTAAACTGTTGAAATATTAGTGTATGTATGTATTTCCTTCCAGTTGTAAATGTTTCATAAAACAATCTTTTATTTCCTTTTAGAAGGTGTCATAAGTGTCATGACATATCTGTCATAGCAATTTAGAATGCGGCAAAAAAATTATTCCATTTTGTTAAAGATGGGTATTTCGCAAGAGTACTATTAATGAAGTTAGTCACCGTTGTTTTCATAGTTTGTGCGTCACTCGTAGAACTAAACGAATCCACAAACACAGCGTGACATTAAACGCGAACTGATTAACTTGATTGGAATCACACTGGCATTGTAAGCCAAGATCAAGGGATCCTTTGTCGTTGTTGAAGTTATCTTATCTCTAACAGTCCCCTCCTATTGATTGCTAACTTAGTTATGGCTTCTTCTTGACGCAAAGTCCTGACGGGTGGTCATTTTTGTTGCAAAGTTCGTAACCCTTCATTCTAATCTTAGCTCAGCCTTTATTCAGCAGCATAACGCAGCCTTTAAAGTCTAAATTTAACCCTATAATTTGGTTTACTTTTGTTTCTCGTGGGAGCTGGGTACAGCAGGTGAACTGTCTGAGAATTAAACTACGTCATTGCACCGCTTGAGATTATTCAACCTTCAACAGCAATGGAAACCGATTGACAATAACGAAAAATCGTTGACGAGCAATTGAAATATTTATATCTAACTGTAAGAACAGTGGGTTTAATTAAAAGAGGTCCTAGCGTTAATTCATTGTCTAATTCCGTTTCCTACTTACGTTGGTTTGAATTTGCAGATTTTCTGCTGTTTAGGATCAGAAACTAAAGATACTAAATTAATTATCAGTCGCTTGCGACGGATCCATCCTTCTTATCATCGCAACAGAGCCTCGCAACTTTTAACCACTCTGTTATTCCAACTATTTAGCTATTTTGTATGAAGTTCAGTTCATCTGCTATTTTTAGCTATACGAACTGAAACTCCAGAAATTCAACCGACGAAGATAAGATGTGGATTGTTGCGCAGTAAATCGGATAAGATTTAAGCGTCTCCAAAATAAACAATTGGTTTTTCTTTTTTTCAGTTTGGTATGAGATAAATCCACTCTCACATCTTATTGTTTCGGACAAAGAGACTATGCAAGTAACACACGAATAATCTACATCATGCTTGAATCGTGGATATCAGCCACGATATTTTATGTTTTATGTAAGAGATGATATATGAAAGGTTCCTTAGTTTTAACAAATCAGGCCAGACGTCTCTTTTGATTTAACCCGATTAAGTATCTAACTTCATCTATGGCTTCTTCCCCTCTAGAGCTTTCTTTCTAAGACAAAAAACCTACTAAAAGCGTCATTTAGATATGCGTCGTTGTTTTTTTTATTGATACTTAACATGCAGAGGTTATCAGTCATTTATTTAGAGATAGAAAAGGAATAACACTCTTTTGCATTGACTGTTAATTCAATCGAACTCCAAAGCCGGATACAACAATGTTTCAGCTGAGTGAATTCCGATCCAATGTTAATAAACTATTTGTCAAGCAAACCTTTCGCTGTCGGCTTCTTCAGATCAAGTTGAGCGACGTTTTATTTGTCTCGCAATGAAAAAAACAAATGGAAAAAGAAAGGAAAACTTCTGTAATTGTAAAATACGATTACTGCATCATTTGTTGTCAAAAAGAATTATAGCCTTTCTAGAATCGGACTTTTTAAAATGGAGGTGAGATAGAAACAAACAGGAATTTACTATTACGATACAACCAAGAATTGAAGTAATATTTCAGCCAAACATTGAAGCGACATTTCAGATTCTCCTTACTCCTTTCAAGATATAAATTTCCCTTCGACTAGATAAGTTATGTGCATTTATTCTTTGAACTTGGGGAAAATTTTGCAGCAATGTAGGCCAAGAGACAGGCTTGCCATTAACAAAAAAGGAAACAGGTTCCTTGACATCCCATGGTATTCAACGGTAGACACGCTAGTCGAGTGGTGAAGAGAGATGAAAACTAGGAATGTTTAAATGTTTGGGGATACAAAATTGAAGATCTTTTTTAAGAAGGACTTTTACTTAACATCCATGCTTTAAAGTTGCATGTCAAATAAACAGGTAACAGTCGGAGATTTTAGACAAAGCGTCGCCGAAAATGAAGAGTGCAGGGAAATAAATCTAGTATCCGGCAATAGGAAATTCTCAATGAGCCCTGAAGTGTTCATCAATATAGCGGCACAATTAGGACAACAGGTCAGTATGAAGGGAAATTCTACAATCATCTTCAGTTCAAGCCACTCAAACAAAACGAAAATCTTTCAAAGCGTTCATACCTTGTTGTAAAACTGGTGCATTCTGGCTTAGTCAACGAGTCAGTTCTTAGTCACAAATCATGACAGTCAAATCAGTTGTTACTTGTTGGATTTATCATTTCTCTTTAAAATATTATTAAGGGACACAGCAAACCAGCATTTAAAGGTTAAGTGCTTCATTTTCTCCCGGCTGCTTTGTTCACATGTCATCCCAATACCCGCCTGCCAAATTTAAGGTAATTCTAGAAAATCTGACACGCCCTGAAGAAAATGAATTAATTGCCGACGTTATGTAATGAGTAAACGAGACGTTTCCGCTTATGCGATTAGCTCAGTTCTGGAGAAAAATGAAAAAAGGTTGAAAATACGTACTACATTAAAATGACCGTGGGTCGAGAAGTTTAACGCTAAACCGGAATTTAGCGATAGGAACAATAATAATGATTGTTGACAAAAATTATCAAATAAAGCGCCGCTTGTTTTTCGCTAAATAAATTTGTCTCGTCTCACTATTACTACCATCCGACTGTCCTTCCTCAATATTGTTTGTGGCTAAAGGATTTGTTTTGCC